TCCATCTATCCATCTATCCATCCATCCATCCATCCGTTTGTCTGTCTATCTATCTATATCCATCAATCCATCCATCCATCCATCCATCCATCTTTCTATCCATCCATCTATCTTCTTTCTCTTTTGTTTGTTCATGCATTTTTCATTTATTCTTTCTTTCCGCTCTTCCCTTTCTATTTTCTCTTTCTATCTTTTGTTCATTTTTTTGTTCTCTGTTGTTTGTCCTGTCCATCTGTCTGTCGTTCTATCTTTCTTACTATAGTTCTGTCTATCTGTTATTCTGTCAGTCTGTCTGTCTGTCTGTCTGTACATCGCTCCGTCTATCGCTTTGTCTGTCTGTCTTTCTCCTGCTCTATTGTCCTATTATTCTTTCATTCTGTCTATAATTGTTTATCGCTCCGTCCGTCTGTCTGTTTATTGTTCTATTGTTATGTCATTTTTATTCATATGTCTGATTGTCAGATGTTTTTGAATAGAGATTTTACCATCTTGATGATCTTTTTAATAACGTTAGCTTTTGTAATAATCTCTGTGTACACATCAGAGACACATAGAGCTTTATTAAAATTGTTAATATAGTGCAAATAAGAAATAACACCTCGCAAAATAAACACAGTAATTAAAATAGTTCTGCTGTGTCTGACACCCGAGGCTCACCATTGGAGACGCTCAGATGATGATTATTTATTATTCCACACAGACATTCACAAACCCAAATGACCTCAGTGCTGTTACAGGGTGTCCTTAAAAAGCCTTAAAATGTCTTGAAAATATTCACTTGTAGGTCTTTAATCGTTTTAAACAGCTCTTACATTTTATATGTCCATGTAAAGCTACCCAATCAGCCATGCACTTAATACTGTTTTCTCTCTAGTGAAGCGTTCAGTTTTTACACTTACAAAGTCGTCATGTAAATAGCAAATGCACCATGGAGCGACACAACTGACTCTTAAAGGGAATGTGAGATGAGACTCTGATTGGTTTATTCTCAAAACACACCTATAACTCATTAAGAGAATAAGCTCAACCCTGTTAGACCATGCGCCACAGCGCAAAGCAGATTTTTCCGTCCTTAAAATAGCAAAAGTGGGTTCAGACACGCCCTTAGTGCTGTTGTGCCCTGCGATTTGGACTTTGTGCATGGATCATCAAAATAGAGGCCAACATCTTCAATTTAATCTGAAACCTGCAGAAAGCCTGTGTTAACTAATGTGTGTGTGTGTGTTTATGTGTGTATGTGTGTAGCTGGTCCTGACGGTGGGTCTGCTGGCGGTTGTAGTCTATCTCTACACTGTAGTGGCTTTTAACTTCTTCCGCAAGTTCTACAATAAGAGTGAAGATGGAGAATCGCCAGACATGAAGTGTGACGACATGCTAACGGTGAGTTAACAGCTAACACCACACAGACTAGCATCTAAATACATGACGGATGTGTTTTTGTACATGATGCGATTGATTTCTGTTAAATAATGAATAATGTTGTTTATCGGAGCTTTATTCCCAGCTCTTTTAAATATAGACACTGTAAAAGTAGTGTGCAGCTGTGGTTGCTAATATTCATTCATTTATTTTATTTTCGGTTTAGTCCCTTTGTTACAACGAATTCCTTGCTGATTTCTCTGTCCCCAGCAGGTAATGTTTTAGACGCAGGACACTTACTCGAATTTCCATCCATTTTTATTCTTGCTTCCTAAACATGTTCTAAAACAAACAACTTACAATAATTTATCAATGTCTTCCAAAGGAGCGTTTGAAAACTGTAGCTGCGTCCCAAATCGCGTACTTATGCACTATTCTACGCCATTTTGTAGTTTAAATAGTGCAAGTAGTGTGTTCACACTGAAAACTCTAATAATATTAAGTGCACTTTAATTACCCGGATGATGCACTCATTCAGCCGCTAAAATGAAGTGTGTAATGATCGACACTTCACGCACTCAACGACCGCAGGTTTGCTTACGTAGCGGAAGGGGTGGAGCTATCGGACGCACATGTTGGATAACTTTATTTATTTTGGATGGTGAAAGCAAAATTCTCCTACGAGAGTGATTATAGCGCCTCCCGATGGTGAATGCGGCAATACTCACGGCAGGTATTATTTGATAATTCGGTCGTTTATTTCACTGATTTGGCAACCGTCAAACGTCATCAGGGAAACGGTTTGAATTTCCGCTTAGTAAAAAAACATTAGTGTGCCATTTGGGATGCCACTACATACATACACTATCCTGTTGAGTGTGTAAGTGCATAAGTACATAGTGCATGAGTGCATAGTGTATAATGTGCCATTTGGCACGCAGTATGTGTTTCCACCCACTGGCACGCTTCTTGCTGATTAGGTTCAGCTGATATTGCCTCTTCTACAGTGCAGTGACCAGTATGCCCCATTGGTGGCAGCACAACAGCTGGCAAAAAGCAGGCCAAAAATAATAGAAAATAAAATAAATTAAATACATTACTATCTTTCTAATTCAGGGCTCCGACACCCTTTATTAATCAAAGTCAACACAGCGGAATGAACCGCCAACTATTCCAGCATATGTTTTGCTTAGCGGATGCTCTTCCAGCTGCTCTGGAAAACACCCATACACACTCATTCACACACATGCACAACTTACCGATTTAGCTTATTCAATTCCCCTGTAGCGCATGTGTTTGCACTGTGAGAGAAACCGAAGCACCCACGCCAACACAGCGTATTTATGTCAGTGTATTGGAGGGATTGTTTGAAAGGTGCACACGAGCACGTCATGATGGTCAGATCACAGGACTCAACCTCTGCCCTCTGATATTTAGCGTCGGGATGGCAGGGCTGTGGTTTGTGGTCCGTGTTGCCCTTTTAATTGCTTGCGTGAGGTTTAATGCGCTCTTCAGATGGGAACATCGCTGCGGCCATTCTTCATTTCTGACGTTAGTGCTGTTGCTAAGCATAAACGACCGGACGCTCATTAGCATTAGCAATCGACTAGAACAGCAGACTAATTAACTAAGTAAACAAACAGAGAGAGAGAGAGAGAGAGAGAGAGAGAGAGAGAAATGTTTTCACCATGCAACAATCTGCCAATAACAACAACAGTAATAATAATAATGAATTGGTCATTCATATTCTTAGTTTATTGCCTTATTATTAATGCCAAAGCTACAAAAACAGCAACTAATAGCATTAATACTCATCTCTGTGTGCTTTTTTGTTTATTTTAAAATGTAATTATCATATCAATAATGATTATTTAATTTTGTCATTGATTTCTTTCATGTCAAATTGAAGTGGAATGATCATTTCCCGAAATGCTTGTGTGTTTTAATTGTGATGCCATCAGGTGTATGTGGATGCAGTGTCAGTGAGGTCTGTGCATATGTGCATGTGTATGAGTATGTGTGCGAGTGTGTCTATATGTGTATGAGTATGTGTGCGAGTATGTGTGTGTATGCGCGTACATATGTGTGTGTATATGTGTGTTTGTGCATATGTGTGAGTGTGTGTGTATGAGTATGTGTGCAAGTATGCGTGTGTGCATATCTGCATGTGAGAGTGTGTGTATGTGTGCGAGTATGTGTGTATGCGCATACATGTGTGTGTTTGCTTGTGTGTGTGTGTGTGTGTGTGTGTGTGTGCGTGCGTGCGTGTATGTGCATGTCTATGTGGGTATGTGCATATGTGTGCATGTGTGTTTGTGTATGTGTATGAGTGTGTGTGCGAGTATGTGTGTGTATGCGCGTACATATTTGTGTGTATATGTGTGTGTGTGTGCATATGTGTGAGTGTGTATGAGTATGTGTGCAAGTATGCGTGTGTGCATATCTGCGTGTGAGAGTGTGTGTATATGTGTGTGTATGCACATACATGTGTGTGTTTGCATGTGTGTGTGCATGCATGTGCATGTCTGTGTGGGTGTGTGCATATGTGTGAGTGTGTATGTGTATGAGTACAGTATGTGGAAAGTGTCCGTGTGTGTGTATGTATGTGTGTGTGTGCATACATGTAAATTTTGTGCTTAAGTGTGTGTGCATATATATGTGTGTGTGTTTGTGTGTGTGCATTTGTGTATGAGTATGTGTGCGAGTGTGTGTGTGTGACTGTGTATGTGTGTGCGTGTGTGTGAGTATGTGTGCTCGACTGTGTATGTGTGTGCATGTGTGTATGAGTATGTGTGTGAGTGTGTGTGTGCGACTGTGTATGTGTGTGCATGCGTGTGTGAGTTTGTGTGCTTGTTTGTAATGTTTGTGTATATGAGTATGTGTGCAAGTGTTTTTGTGTGAGACTGTTTGTGTGTGTAGGTGTATGAGTAAGTGTGCGAGTATGTGTGGGAGTGTGTGTGTGTGTGTGTGTGTGTTTGTGTGTGTGTGAGTGTGTGTGTGTGTGTGTGTATGTATGTATATGTGTATGAGTGTGTGTGTGTGTGTGTGTGTGTGTGTGAGTATGTGTGCTCGACTGTGTATGTGTGTGCATGTGTGTATGAGTATGTGTGTGAGTGTGTGTGTGCGACTGTGTATGTGTGTGCATGCGTGTGTGAGTTTGTGTGCTTGTTTGTAATGTTTGTGTATATGAGTATGTGTGCAAGTGTTTTTGTGTGAGACTGTTTGTGTGTGTAGGTGTATGAGTAAGTGTGCGAGTATGTGTGGGAGTGTGTGTGTGTGTGTGTGTGTGTTTGTGTGTGTGTGAGTGTGTGTGTGTGTGTGTGTATGTATGTATATGTGTATGAGTGTGTGTGTGTGTGTGTGTGTGTGTGTGTGTGTGCACGTGTGCGCGTGTGTGTATATGTGTGAGAGTATGTGTGGTTGTGTGTAAGTGTGTGTGCGCATGTGTGTGTATAAATGTATGAGTATGTGTGCAAGTATGTGTGTGTGTGTGTGTGTGTGTGTGTTTGTGTGTGTGTGTGTTCGCGTGTGCTCGTGTGTATATGTGTATGTGTGTGTGCGATTGTTTAAGATTGTGCGCAAGTTTGTATGTGTGTGAGTATATGTGCATACGTGTGTGTGTGTGCGCATATGTGTATTAGAAAATGTGTGTGTGTGTGTGTGTGTGTGCACGTGTGCGAGCGTGCGTGCGTATGTGTGTGTGTGTGTGTGTGTGTGTGTGGTTGTTTGAGTGTGTGTGTGTGTGTGTGTGTGTGTGTGTGTGTGTGTGTGTGTGTGTGTGTGTGTGTGTGTGTGTGTGTTTGTGTGTGTGCGTGTGTGTGTGTGTGCGCGAGTATGTAAGTGTATGACTATGTCTGTAAGTATGTATGTGTGTGTGTCTGTATGTGTGCGAGAATGTGTGTGTCAGTTTTAATCCGCTGGGAAGCAGCCACCCGTACAATTCCATTTCTAGATGTTTCCCTTCTCTTTTTGTCTCCTCCGGGTCGTCTGTCTCTCTCGCTCTCTCCTCCTAATAAGGGAAGACAGTTTGACTGAAAGAGAATCTTTTGTCCAGAAACACTGACTTCAGTCTAAGGAGCAAACATTTGAGTTGCTTACATCTCCAGTGTGTGTTTCCACAGTCAATACATGTAGAGTTAAGACCATAACTCAGCCAATGGTGGGAGTGTTTTAGTGATTAGGACTATTCATGTGGCAGGATGGGACTGAAACCTTGTTAACCGTGGTAAAATCCCTGTAAGACATACTTTCTCAGAGTGTCCTATCAGATACTGTATGTGCATGCTATCCTTCCTAAATAGTATATTCATTTAATTATTCATTCATTTTCCTTCGGCGTAGTCCCTTTATTCCCCACAGTGGAATGAACTATCAACTATTCCAGTATATGTTTACATAAGGGGAAACACCCATACACACTCATTTACACACACACACACACATGCGCACACACACGCACAGACACACACACACTTCCACACATACTCATACACATACGCACACAGTCTCACACACACACACACACACACACATGCGCACACACACGCACAGACACACACACACACACACACTTCCACACATACTCATACACATACGCACACAGTCTCACACACACACACATACTCATATACACAAACTTGCACACAAACTCACAAACACATGCGCACAGACACACTCGCACACATACTCATACACACATGCACACACATACATAGTCGAGCACACATACTCATACACACAAGCACACACATACACAGTCGCGCACATACTCATACACAAATGCACACACACACACACACACATGCACACACACTTAATCACAAAATTTACATGTACTCACACACACATACATACACACACACACACACGGACACTTTCCATACACACTGTACTCATACACATACACATACCCACTCACACATATGCACACACTCACATAGACATGCACATACACGCACGCACGCACACAAACACACATACACTCACACACATGTATGCGCATACACACACACATACACACACTCTCACACGCAGATTTGCACACACGCATACTTGCTCACATACTCATACACACACAGTCACACATATGCACAAACACACATATACACACACATATGTACGCGCATACACACACATACTCGCACACACACTCATACACATACTCACACACACACATGCAAACACACTCGCACACATACTCGCACACATACACACACACATAAGCACACACACACACACACACATGTGTGCAGCCAATTTAGTTGGTCAATTCCTCTATAGCGTATGTGTTTGGACTGTGGGAGAAACCCGAGGAAACCCACGCCAACACAGGGAGAACATGCCGGAGCACCCGGAGGAAACATGCAAACTCCACACAGAAACGCTAACTGACCCAGCTGAGGCTCGAACCATCGACCCAACGACCTTCTTGCTGTGAGGCGACAGCACTACCTACTGTGCCACTGCTTCGCCCATTATCTATTAGTTTATTAAATAATCATTCCACATCATTCCTCAAAACGGTGTTGAACTGTTTAGAAAAGGATTTTCTAAAAGTGGTAAATGCTCCACTTTTCCTAACCCACTTAAAACGGTAACCTGGATAACACCCTATTGAGCAATTAAAGACCAATCTCAAATCTCCCTTTCATTGGCAAAGTCATTGAAAACAAGTTTTAAACAAGTTCTTAAGCTTTAAAGAAACTTGTTCATGCTTTTATCAGCAGCAGGGTGGATTACTGTACGGTCCTACTTTCTTCCTCCATTCATTCACATCCGCAGCTGACGTCAGAGCAACAGAAAGCGCTACTCATTCACCAACGTCACTTTAGAGCCAGTACATGAATGATTCTCTAGCGTAATGTCTAAAGTTATACAGTTAATTACTGTATGATAGGACAGTGGAGATTTACAGACGGGAAAGTATGGGGAGTAGGGCTGCACAATATTGAAAAAATCTGATATTGTGATATTTTATTTTTCTTCGATAAATATTGCGATGTAAATATAGTTTCAAAAGATGGTTTAATAGCTCTATTTGACTGTTTTCTAGGAAGCCGAACAGTATTCTGGTACTGAAATTGAACAATCACAGTGCAAAAAAGGCTTTTAATGCTTTGTCTCATTTCTAGTCTAGATATCTAAACAAAATGCTTAGTTAAATAATAAAATAAGTAAATAAATAATGTTTAGTTTTGAAATTCAGGTGAAATAATTTAAAATTAAGAGGTTTTTCCTCAAAACAAAGAAAATGATCTGCCAGTGAGGCACGTGAAATAATCTCGTTTTCGCTTTGATATAGATATTTGGACTAGAAACAAAGACAAAAACTCTAAGCAAGCAAAGCATTTGTTGTTGTTGTTGCATAAATCATATAAATACAGTGATTAAATACAGTTCTGTAGCTCCTGGTCAACAATAATTCAGACTTAATGTTGCATATCTTTGCAATGTGACTATTGTGGATGCGCACATTGTGATATCGATGCTGAAAGGATATATTGTGCAGCTCTAATGGAGAGCAGAGATAGCAGAATGATCAACAAAGAACCGGGAATCAAACTCAGGTCGCTGTGAGCACCTCAGTGCTGTGTCGATGCACTAACCTCTAGGCCACAGGTGTCAGATTCAGTTCCAAAAGGGCTGCAGCTCTGCACAGTTTAGTGCCAACCCTAATCAAACACACCTGATCAAACTAATTGAGTCCTTCAGGCTTGTTTGAAACCTACAGGTAAGTGTGTTGGAGCAGGGTTGGAACTAAACTGTGCAGGGCTTCGGCCCTCTAGGAATTGAGTTTGACACCCCTGCTCTAGGCTATTGGCACCGACTATGAAGTCTTAAATCCTTTTGAGACATTCATTCCAAATTTCATCAGGAACTTCTTCATCAAATTCTTACATATAGTTCATATTTTTAAGGATATTGTCTGAGTAGTGAAGCAGCATCAGTGTTTGTGTTCTTAGTCTTTTGATGTTGCTGTTATTGATTATGTTGTTGGTTGGTTTATTACAGTGCTTTATATCAGTCTCTACAAAGCACTAGTGAAGTGAAGCTGAGCATGATATGTGTTCAGAAGTGAGTGATCAGATCGATGCTTCTCTTCTCTTTGGTCTGTGCAGTGCTACATGTTTCACATGTATGTGGGCGTTCGTGCCGGTGGAGGCATCGGGGATCAGATTGAAGATCCAGCCGGAGACGAGTACGAGATCTACCGCATCATCTTCGACATCACCTTCTTCTTCTTCGTCATCGTCATTCTCCTGGCCATCATTCAGGGTGTGTGTCTGTGTGTATTCGGTGTGTAAATAGTGTTTGTGCGCTGCTGGATCTGACGTGTGTGTGTGTGTGTTTCAGGTCTGATCATAGACGCGTTTGGTGAACTGAGGGACCAGCAAGAGCAGGTGAAAGAGGACATGGAGGTGAGGAAACACAAAACAGGGATTCAAATGCTTGAGTTTTAATCTCGTGTTTCAATGTTTAAAGAAAAAAATACTAATTAATCACACTTTTTTTTGTAATTAATCATGATTAATCACGAAAAGCCGTTTTTATTAGAGACATGAAAACACAGGCATGTTGATGTCAATTGAATTTCAAAATAATCAATGCCAATAACAATCAAAAATGATTTCCATGTTGGATTACAAAAAGTGGACTACAAAAAAAAAAAAAAAATCCAAAATACAGTCATTGCAGATATGAAAAATGGAAAATAATAATAATAATAATAATAATAATAAACTATTGAATACAAACAATTGTACTCATTGTAAAGTTGTATTGCTGTGAGTTGAAAACATTAATTATAAAGTATAAACAACTTTGTTTAGTCCTCCTTTATATTCAGGTAGTTGCTAAGACAGTCCAGTCTGTTGACATTATCAGGGGACAATGTGGCCAAGGGGAACATCAAAGGCACGTACCAAAGACTAGAAACTTTTTACAGGGACTTTGCTCACACCATCTCTAAACATTTAATTCTAAACAGCTTTGAGGGATACGGACACAAAAAGACTATAGATTGCATATAGAATGCCTGAAAGAGACTTTGGACACCGTCAGCGACGTCAGATAGCGTTTTCTAGCAACAAGATTCATCAACACACACGATGGCGTTCATCAAATTTGCTTAAACTAAGCATTCTAAAGTATGGCTGTATTTCACAAGCAAGGATTCTGACACAGCAATGTGAAGCAGATGCTTTACAAAAGTTGTGTGTAGGGAGGGAAACACATCAAACTTAATGAAACATTTGAGGGCGCATGGAATCATCCTAAAGAATGAAGAATGGACTGTATTTGACAGCTTGCGACATCATCTGGCACTTTCAGTGAGTACATTTACATGGACACCAATGCTCTACTTTTATGGTTAAGATAATACTAATTAAGAGTCGACCATGTAAGCAGCGATTTTTGATTTCCTTAAAGGATCACGGGAGTCCCGAAATGCAGAGTTTTTTCTTTCAGTTCGCCATGCGCTATCAAATTCCATTAAATCAGCACTCTTCCAGCAGTCCTTACTTCATATTCTTATCCAATAAGTGTCACTGGGCATGAAAAACATGTTGCTGAATGTGAGTGAACTGCAGTTGAATTCGAAAGATTAAACATGAAACACCTCAAATTGCATGAAACTTTGGAGGAAACACAGGATAGCCTGCTGATGCGACATTAATTGTTTTATACTTAACTTCTAAAAGTGCTTTCTTGGTCTTATCTATATGTCTTTGCACGTTGAACATACATCGGCCACAACAGGAAATGAAAAAACTGCAATTGCGTACATTTTTTTAAAACACGTTAAATATTTCAAATTAATTGTGTGCGTTAACACGCTTATTATATATATATATATATATATATATATATATATATATATATATATATATATATAT